TATTGTATTGTGTTTTTATGGAAGTAAATGTATGCTGTTTAAAAACCTCGCGATTGCTGAGCAAGAAAACGACACATTTACTGTCTACTCTTTTGCGGTCCTATGGTCCAGAGTCTTGCAAATATCTCAGCATCATTGAATAGCTAACTCTTAGTCAAATTATCGGTCAATGAACTTTTTCGAAGAAAGGGTTTTTGTAAGCCATTAAGTGTAGAGAATGGTTTCCTTGGTCTCATCACTACTTGATCTGCTTCCTATTAGTTATCTAATGAGTGCACAAAGTCCCGTCAAAAAAACTCTGAAATCCAGCAAATCAATAAATAATAGATAAATAATAATAAAAATGAATAATATAATAGTAGATAAAAAGCTTCAATAAACCGACAGAATAAAAATAAGAAATGAATATGGACACTATAGTATCAATACAGTAGTTTGGTCCATTTGGCTATGGACACAACAGTGCCCCTACGGGTCGTTATAGGTTAACTAAATCCTCAGAGATTAGGAAACTATAAATGAGTTAAACAGCATCCTACATCGATATAAATGCTTTCACACATTTGTACTTGGAACTTTCTTGTCATACATTCTTTCTTGAACTGTGTTTGTGAGCGATTTGTCATCGTAATGGATTTAGGTAAGCTAGGCAAACGGAACAGAAACAATGGAAAATACAAGTCAGAAGTGAAAAAAGGATGAGAAACTAATGAAGAAAGTTGAAAAAAACAAGATGTCGTTGTTTTCATGAGATTACACGAAGTCGTAAGCAAAACAAATTTAAAACGGAAAAAAATAACTAGTCGGATACTAACTCACCAATAGGAAGAACCACGGTTTTTGTGGTACTCCTTCACCACCGGGATAGACGGCTTCGATATACCAGGTGATTATCATCAAATAGATTCCGTCGATGAGCAGCATGATAAAACAGTGACCAACAGTAAGGCGTTGATCGGGTGTCGGTGGCGTGAACAGCTGGTCCCAATGTAAACCGTGTGCTACACACAAAAAAATCTACGTACACACATATTTGTCAACCAATTAATGTTTATCGATCCTATGACATAATCTAAGTCACTGTCAACTAATACACTAAAACATTTGCGCTAATTTTTTCTATTTAACGTGACCAGTCTTCATATCTCTTTCACAACCCCTAAGAGGATTCCAGCACCTCTTGCATTCGATTACTTTCGTCTCATCCATCATCCACGAAAATCTTCCAACCTTTACGTCTGGCTTCGGTTGATGTTTGAGGATTTTTCATTTCATCTTGAATGTCGTTAAATGCTGGTCGGATTGATTCCATAAAAAGCCCTGGAATAACCACGGCATAGCGTTCCCAGTTGTAATTCGGAGAGGGTGCCGTTCCCAGAGAAATCGTATAATTTCCCGATCCCGGAGACATGACAGGGTTAGTGAGTCCGATGCTGTGTTAAACCAGCACTGTGCTTTTGATAAACGGCATCACTACCACTGCGCTACCAGCGCTCTATATCATGCATAATATGTTTCTCAACAGATATTTTCGTTTAAATACCTATTTAAGGGCAACATAAAAGACGGCACGTGGAGTAAATCCCATAAAGGTCAACTTTGAAAGTTCCGGACAAAGAAGCATAAAGTTCAACGAAATGTTTTCGCGCAGTAGTTAGTGGTGCGTTCTATCAGAAAGCAAGGTGCTGGATCGACCCTTCCCGCCTCTGCTCTTCAGTCAACGTGGGAACGCCTCAGCTTGGCTGCCTCCAAGGTTACTCAAAAAATATTCTAAGACGTTCATAAAGAAGAAAAAATTTTCAAGCACCAGGCGAAACAACATGCGAGGTGTTCGAAGACTCTGGTGGAAGACAAATGCAAGGAAAATGAATCCAATGTAGAAATGCTGGAATCTACACGGTTGATGTGATGACGGGTCATGCAAGCAAAAAATCCTTACTTTGAATCTTAACCGTTTTATTTACTGCCTACTCTTTTTTATGGCAGGGTATATTGCGAAATATAACTTCAGTGATGTCGAGATATTTGCAAAACTCCGGACGGCAGGTGTATGCGGTGGGAAACGAACGCACTATTGCCCTTTCCGGGGAGTAACGCGCTCACAACCACACCATGTGGGTCCTTCGTTTCGCCTGTCTCTCAGCTAGTTTTGTCGATTTCGGCCATCAGCAATCACGCGTCAGTGGGATTGATTTGGGGAGCGCAAATCGGCTATGAACCCAGTTAAGCTGAGGCTTAGTTATAATCACAATCTTAACCCTTTTATTTACTGCCCTTTTCTTTTTAATGGCAGGGTATGGTGGTGAGCGCATTACTCCCCGGAAAGGACAATAGCGTGTTCGTTCCTCACCGCATACACCTGCGGTCCGCAGTTTTGCAAATACCTCAGCGTCATTGAACTTACCTTGAGTCTCATACTGAGCCAAGAGAGTAATACCATATGCCATAGCGATATCTGGATTTAGGCTATTGACCAACTGAGCACTGAGCGAGAATGGTCTTGCCACATCGAAACTATTAAATATGGCATACCAGAAGTACAACAGCATCCAACCGACAACTGCAATCAGTGTCGCCGCTGTTCCTAAAGTGTCATAAGATGACGTACTAAGCGATAGCGCACCATTAATGGCTATCAAGTTAGTGTTTATAGTGAGCATTTGCAACATGTTAACGTTGAAGGGGGTGTTTTCTAGCAACTATACTGTTCTAACTAATGCGTCATCTAGAATGATAGTGTAATTCGAGTTGGCATCAGTGAACACTATTTGTCTATCAGAACTGCTCATAGCTATTCGCTCGCTCAACAGACACTGAAATCGCAGAGATTCTAGGATGCTACTTTTCCAGGCTACAGAAAAGATCATCATTCCACAGTAAATCGCTTTAGTGTAAGTTAACTCATAATCAACGATAGTTGAGCTTCCAGAATTTGACAAGGGAATTCCCATCCCATGATGAGACAACAGTTTATGGTGGAACAAAATTGTAATATTCTGTTGTTGCATCAAAATCTTTCCATTATGTTTCATGTTGTCGAACCGTGGTGCACCGCAGCAAGTTGATCTCCTAGCATTAACACCTAACCTGACAATGACTTGAACCATTTCCACACAAGACTTCAACTAAGAATGAACCAATGTCAGAAGTTATTGTCGTTCTAGAAGAAACCACCTGTCCAATACACACAAGATGGAGACCATCGGATTGCGTTGTCCCACACTGCTCACACTAGACAGAAGAACTAAATCTATCCAAACTAAAAATATAGTAACCAAATGGAAGGTCTGCCAAAGCGCGCGCTATTCTTCATCACGGGGCAATCAAGCATTAAAATAAGCGTGCCATCTGTCTTCTGTATAACTCTAGAGTATAAAGTGACAGAATCAGATAATTATATACGGTAATCTCAATTGGTCGTTGTAAACGGATTTTTAAAGAAAACAAGAGAACCGGCAACAAGGTCGTCCGTTAAATCTCACCTGATTGCATAAAAGTTGAAATTGCGAACGCAAAATACAAAGCGTTAAAAGCGTATAACAAAAAGAATATGAACATGATGCTTCCATCAGATCTAAAACAGGTAGTTTTCAAACCACTTAGAAATAGTTTCGAATTCTTCAGATGTTCTACAGCCTTAGCCTAATTATCTCATTCCACTTTCCTTCTAATCTATGATTTTGATAAGACGCGAAGAACAGCTGGAAAGAGGGCGATGCCGATTCGAAAGCCGCGGTGTAGCCCCGACGTGGGCTGCGACGCAGGTCGTGGCGCAGGTCCGCGACACGGTTAAATGTGGGGAACTCGAGGAGCGAAATGCCGAATAAGTAGTGTACTTGAAGCTTTTCGAAACCAAATTTCAGATATTTAAAGAAATTTCCTCTACTTCTAAATAGCATATCTGTCAGTCTTTTCATTCCGTGCTGTACAAAAATTCACTACAAAGTGAAAGCATTGAAGAAAAATTTTACCTACCACAATTTCACCTACCTGCTGTAAATTTTAACACCTAAAATATTGATTTATAAAAAAGGCTTTTGGCGTTGATCAAACCTTGAGGGATGGACCATGCATTCGAATTCATTAAGTATCGTTGGAGGTGATTGAATGCATATTTGGCCTTTACAATGACTCGCGGTGGCGTATCGATGTATCGAGCCAGTGTTGTTATTTTCCCAGACAAAAGTTTGGTACCAATTTGTCGACCACGGAAGGATGGAAGGCTTTGTGGGCCATGAGCGTGGGACCGATTCCACGTGTGTGTCGCAGTGGCGCCTCCAGCCACTGCGTCACACTGACCCTTCACTCAGACATATTATTATTAATTAAGAGAAGACTAAGAAGGACAAAAAGAACCTTGTAGTGACGAAATGCAAGAGAATGGTTAATAAGATAACTGAGACGACAAGCTTCACATAGTTTATGATGAAATGACCAACCCAATGTATCCATTGACTTAAGCCCATAACTCTCATGTATTCCTGTAAAGCAGGGTTGTAAAAGATGGAAAAAAAATCCTACTCCTTAAAAGCAATATGAAATCTTTATTAACGAAATCTTAACTGGCATAAAATGGGATGAAGCATGTGTAGAGAAAAATCCTATTTAAATACAATCAATGGCATTTAGCATTCTAAGCAACAAAATTTCTTCCTCGGCCTCTCAAAATGTATAAAATTATGAAAAGGAAGATGTGTAATTAATGATGCTAAGAAATACTACGCTTTTTTGGATGCCCAATCACAGCAGAGTGCTCGAGCTTTAATTCCATCTAACCACCAACACTTCGCTAAGTAAGCTTCAAAATTTGCATTTTCTACCAACTCCAGACCTACTTGTGCTTGAGCCTTGCTAGGTCTTGAGTTCAGGTACTCGCTGCTAGGTCTTGAGTTCAGGTACTCGCTGATATCTTCCCAACGGTTTACTAGTTTGGGCAAAGGCCATCAGAGGTACCCTGCTATGCTCATATTTTCGTGCGTTCGATCCTACGCCAAGTGTTAACTAAGTCTCTCATTTACATAAGATGAGCAAATTAGTGCCAGACCTCCCTAGAGGATTGGGATGCTGCTTAGAAATTTCAGTGTTCTCTACGAATACCTCCAAGCTGCTCTCAAGTATTGAATAGATTTATCGTGAAGTTGTGAAGACAAGTGTGAAATGGATAAGAAACGATGTGAGACTTGCTTAGTCTGTGCGTTGTCGAAACTAAGATAATGCGCGAATCATTGAAAGGTACTTCTGCCATTGAGCTATCCGCATCTCATTTTATAACGTTGTGTTTTTCCAAGTTTGAAAAAGTGTAAAAACCATAATTGCTTAAATCACTGACCTTCAATCTGCTTTCTTTTTCGACGACAACATTTTTTACAATGTAAATTACGCTTGTCATAAATGAGAAAACAACAACGACTGGAAGAAAAAAAGCGCCGATCTCGATGATTTTCGAGGTATACGATGGGAACGGAAACCTTCCAATCTGGAATAAAAAACGGTTTTCGTTTTCCTTTAGCTTTACATAGTCCAGCCGGCATAGAATTGGCTCCATTGAAACTCCTCGTATTGTTTTACTAAACCACATAAACGTGACACTTTCGTACTTGTATGGTTATACTTAAAAACGTATAAAACCACAAAGTTCCTCGGATACACCCGGATATTTTCAAGTTCTTTTTTATTTCCTTTAAACGTCTATTGAAAAAAACATCGTGTGTACATATGTATATATAAAGGCGTATACCAACGTGCACATGTGCATATATATATATATACATATACACATACATACACATAGAAACGTATACACTTTTATATACGTATACATATATATCTGCTTTTGCTAGACATATATATATATATATATATATATATATATATATCTTCCCAACGGTTTACCGCCTCATCGAGGCTGGGAGGTGTTCCTAGGGATCGGACTACGATGTACAGCGGGGGTATTCGTCCTGCGGCAAGATCTTCCAAGTTGAAAGGGAGTCTGGTATTTCCATCAGGAAGCCTAGCTAAGAGTAAACCAATACCAGGACCAACCACCGTCCTGGCATCAAAGCCACATAGTTACAAATCTCCCTCTGATCCACAAGGATTGCGACTGCCTGTGGTGGTGAAGACCTGGGGCAGACCGTCGCCAAGCTAACCTTGGGGCTCCAGGGAGCCATAATGGCTTAACCAGCAAATCTCCGAGAAATGGTGTTTATGTTGGGGTCGGCACAAGTAGTGAGGATGGGCCGTTCAAATGTCAAGTAACTATACATGCAAACATATTGTTTTGTTATTTCATATGCTCCATAATAATGAATATACTAGAAAAATGGTTCACCATTAGATCCGTGTTGATAAGTTCAATACGCCTTCCGGTAAGATTTTCATAGATTGCGTTGTTTATTGCCTTCTGTATCGTCATAAATCCTTCTTTCCAATATCCTGAAAAAAAATGGTAGACTATTCCACACCTTTCCTGCTTCATTATTTTTCATTCTGTTCTCCTTTACCCTCCCTTCGGTCTTCTTCCTCGCTCTCATTTATCATTTCTCTTTTCATTCCCTTCCCTTCTCTTCCCCTCCTTCTTCGTCTTATTTTCCTCCTACGTCGTGATGATCATATTTTTTACCATCTTCTTTTACCTAGCTTTCATGCTACATAGAAAAGGATCCGGTGATTCTTTTCCCTCATTTGTCCTACTCATGACCTATTTTGTTCGTAGTGAGAAAACGTTTAACCGGAAGCCATCTAGAAGCTCAGCTTGCCGTAAGCCGTACCAGGAAGCACTGCCATTCTGGTGCCATCATGGTAATGACCGGTCGGTTCAACTCCCTTTGCACGGCCTTCGAGACTCCAGTGGAAAAATCTCTCTCCCACTGAGGTAATTTGGGAATGGGATCGTGCAGTGGGAATTGTGCTGGAACCCGCGAGATACTTCACTACTATAAAGATTGGTCGGTCTATTCGAACTTTAACCAAGTAAATATTTTTAAAAAATGTCCACTGTAATTAATCATTGGCCAAGATTTTGTGGTTCTTTGAAATATTTTTTAACTTTGAATGATAAATTCACTGAACAGAGTTATTAATTCACCTGGGTAACCTCCATCACTCTCTAGTGGATTTATAGGACCGCTAACGAACTGAATAGCAAAGAATTCACGAGTATTCCACGGTCTGAAGTTATGCCTTCCATTTACCTACAACGAATAAACTCGAAACAAATGTGTTACAAAATGACTTCAAAAAAATATATAAGAAGGCGTAAGTCTGAAGGTTTCGGTATAAATTCCAAAAGAAATTGTTCAAAATTATTTATCTACGAAGGATACGGTGTTATAATTTGCAATAATGAAAAAAATATGAGTATCTCCAAAGAAAGATAATGGTTTCGAATAAATATCAGTTTTGTCCTACAAAATGACTTTAGTCGGATTAAGGCATTTACTAGACCAGCTCAAAGAGTTTTAGTTTAAAACGTGAACACTTTAATTAAAATCATCCCACAGTAAATGAAAACAACTAAGTAAAAAATATAGCCAGTAAAATTAGTGGATATGTTTAGCGAAGAAATCTTGTCAGGTAAGAACTGACTGAACGGAATGAAACACCGCACGTACTCCTTTACTTTGACGATTTGTATTCGATAATCGAATAGTGTAGGATAAATTCGACTCCGATCGCATTCGTTTTGCTATCGAATCATTAAATGTAATACCGGCTGTAAATATGGATAAAATTAGTGCCAAAACATATAAAACCTTATAAGTTAGGAATAATATCGACAAATTGGTGTGGGTTCCCCAGACCAAACCCGTTGACGGGTGATTACCAATAGCACTGTCAAATAGAAGACTATCTGAGAGAAAAGCAGATCGAGGGTTTCCGTGGCGCAGTGTGTAATGTGCGACCACTCTGAAAGGACAACCCAGGTTCGATCTGACTCGTGGTCCAACTTTTGCGAATATTTGTGGTTCATTTCGCATAATATCCTGTCGTGAAAAATGTAGTAGGCAGTAAATAAAAAGATGACCATTGCAATATCGACGTATTGTCAACTGTTCAAGTTGCAGTAATTGCGCTTCATTTACATTTGATATCTACGTTTGACTGCAAAATAAAGGGCGTTTCTGGTAATTTGCTTTGGAGCATCTACAGTGATGTGCATCGAAGATCAATTTCATCCGCGTCGCGATTTTTTTGTGATTCCACAAGTGTGAAAAATTACTATTTCTTGGAAAAGTTTTAAATTGTTGCTTAAAAATAGTGCTAAAGCATTGGAATATTTGCTCTTCTTCTTCTTGGTGAACCGGGAAGAATGTTTCATCGAAGTCATCTAAGGTGGTACAGCACCTGCATAACTTCACGAAACCAGCATATTCACGGGAACCGCGAGTGAATTAAAAACGCCAAAAAAATTTTAAGCTACTTCCGAGTCAGATGGGCTTTTTTATTTATTTAAACAAGTTACAGTTGTATCTTTTTCATGCGGTTGTGGATTGCTCCTATCTCACATGCACTGAGTGAACTCCGTATAAGTTAAAAGTTTAACTACCCACGTTTGTGGCCCGAACTTTTGATTTCGCACATTAGTATCAGTGTGACATGTCAGAAGAGCAGCATATATCACATTGACTAATCGATTAAAAGTTAAAAGTTATTTTCATGCATCTGCCACCCACCCAATTAGCCGACATTTAGGTGATATGTAATCAAAAACCAGACCACTTTTTCCATTTTTTGCAAAAGATATGGAACAATTTGACAGCATGAGAACTTATAGGAGGAAATAATAGGTAATTCTACGTTAAATGACCACCTACCTAATAGTGAATTTCCACATTCATTTGAGAAAGACTCCTTTGCATATGCGACCATTTCATCTTCAGTTTCGAATCCTTCAAAAAATCTCAAACTTTCTCATTTTTCCACTTTTTCAGGTACATATGGTTAATCGATAGTTGGGACGCAATGCAAATTATCGATTGGTTCATCACTTCTGAGACATGCAAAATATGGCAAACTGTTTGCTGACAATATCTGGACAATGTCTTTACTCAGATCCATAATTAATATAACCACTTTGTAACGACCAACTTCAACAACTACGTATTTATTAGGTATATTTCCAAACTGTCGATTAATTACCTTTTACAACCATGTTTACTTCCAAGTATTTTGGCAGTGGAATCTTATTTGTAGGTTCCATAACGAATAGAGGATTCCCAATAGTTGTTGTGTACCGATCCTGAAGTTTATTTCATCAATTCTATTCACACTTCTTCGTAAAGTAAATCTTAGTTTTCATTATAAGTTTAGCTTTGATTTGAAAAGTTCTAAATTTGCCAGACGTTAAAAATTATAAGGATGAGTATTGTGACGCTGTTTATATCTCTTGAACAAGTGGAGACTAATGTGCGACTGTAACAAGTATAAATGTAGGTCTGGTGCGTGCTTGGGACATTTGATTAGATCTTGAAGGTTATAGATCATATTTAAATTTTCTTCATCGCTAAATGTGGATTCCGTAAAAAAGGCTGTTATAGTGCTTACTCTTACTTCCACAATTTCAGTCTTTTCCTTATTGAGCTAATCTTCATAGTTCTTATGATTTTTAACCTCTTAAACCTTATTTGTTCAAACTAGATATCGACTATTTTCCTTTCATTGGCTTTGCTCATTTGCCTTTTTCTAAATACGGTTATTCAAAGCCAAGGATTAAGGTGTTTCAAACGCAAAAATGTCACATTAACAGCAAATCACCTTTGAATTGCATAACAAACAACTATTATTACGAAATACTTTCTAACCTTTACGAGATCCATGATAGTCTTTGTGATGGCCGTGATCGGTGAAAAAATTAGCTCTGCATCCAAACGAACGCCACCGTCTTTAAGCCAAGTCAAATTAAAAAATGGACAATTATAAGTGGAATTAGCAATCAAGCTCATCGGATCGAGAATTGCAGACTGGAAAAAATATTCTTTTATTTACAATGATTTTTAGTGAGATTTCAAAAGTGAATGTATGTAAAATAATACGGTGGGTAGATATGTAAAACTTCCTAAGTTGATCTATACAACATTTGTGACCAGGAAAAAAGAGATTGACCTAAAAGATGTTGTCTCAGTTAGAAAAACTACAAATTGAATAAAGGACTAAAAGTAAGAACTATTTCTTCCTTTACAAATTCTTCGATGCATTAGTCAGCTACCAACATAAAATGCTCTCTTCCTGGAAAATTTCCAATTACAAAAAAGTAATCTTCTTCTTGGTTCAAATGGTTGAAGGACTAACTCTGTTGAAGGCCTGCTTGCACCACAACATGGTTTGAGATTATAAGAAAATCACATTAGAGGAAAATCTGGTGCTTAGAAGGCGTTGCTGAGGAAAGACAAATTAGAGGTGCCGTACAGCATTGCAAATGGATCGATTCCCCATCGAGCTAACAAGACCTACCACTCTTCCAGCATTGGCGGCAAAGTTGCACGAAAAAATCTCAATCAATAAACACCCGTGATTATTTGTGGTGAAATCCAGGGTATGATTTAACTGAGCTATCTCAGTATTGTATAGATAGTCACCTCTATCAGCAGGATTTTTAAGAACTTGCGTTCAGTCTCAGTGTAGATAACCAATACGCTGTTCTCATTAGTGAGCTATTAGAATGTTTTCATGAAAAACAACAGTCAGTTAACAACTAATTTTTTTTAGAAGAATGTCCTGCTAGGTGAGGTTTCATCATTCGATCCGTGCTTAACTCCAACGGATTCGAGCTGTGGATTTTCGGATTATGCTCGTTATGGATTGTGCGCCACTCCAACGGATTCGAGCCTTCCATTCGAACGGTGCTGGACTCAATGCGACAAACAACGAGCACTGACATCGCAAGAATGGATGGCTTTAAACAATCAACACGAACTATTCCGCCTCTAAAAAAGGCGAAAATGCCGACATCTTGACCGAACAAATTTCTATCAGTATCAGCATTCATCAACATTAATGCAGAAGAGAAAATCCTTAGCCGTCAGCCAAGCATTTCGTATCGATCTGCCGTCACGAATCAACACAATGGAGTTCTAGCATTTTACCACGTGAAAGACGAATTCTCTTGGACACAATGATTGAATAGAGGATGACGATTTTTAACGTAGTTTTACCGGTTAGCGTTCTCGCTGCAACGAAAGAAAAACCTACGCTTGGATTTGAAGTGTTTGTCGGCATGACGAAGTCCCATGCACTTCCCATTACTGGCCACTCTGGATAATTTTCAAGCTGATGGTCATTTTCGAAGTTACCTCTTAGCTGGAAGTAAAACTTTAAAACTTTATGTTAGATCCGTTAGAAGGCATGAGGATATTAGGATATTAGGTGAAGTGTTTCCTATATATTTGCGGAAAAAATTGAAAGTTTCCTTTGGATGTGCACTCTGTGTTAGTGTTAAAGTGGTACCGAAAGCCAAGTAACAAGAGCATCCTTTTTCATTTCCTCTCTTCCCACTGTTTACCACACAAAGAGGACGACTGTGATAAACACCCTTCGAACAGCCACCTCTTTGTGCACAAGTTGGGAACTAAGGGAAGAATCGCGCGACTTGGTTCGGAAAATAGCCATCCCCAATGGCTACGAAATAGTAACCCCACTTGGTAAATTTAGAGGAAGAGGAACGCCCCAAAAGGAAAAACGTAGCCCAAAATCCCGTTTATGTTTGCCCTTCATTAGCGAGAAGTACGTGCAGCTATAAAACGATGCTTAAGAAACGCACGCCTAGAGGGATCGGTAGCAGTAGTTGAAATACCACCAGATACGTTATGGTGTCATGTCGTTTGCTGCCTGTATGACTGTCTATGTAAAACACAGAACTGTTAATCTGCCCTTACGGCAAGGACGGTGATTGTATGAGTTCAGCTACGAGATAGCTGACCTCTTGTGGTACTTTCGGAAACGAATATATTGACGAAACGGACAGGCTTTTATGTATCGGTGTAAAAGAACACTTAGATGGCAAAAGAAAACCAAGACAAAATGCTCATAAGATATAAAAACATAGCGGAGACGATTTTGATATAAAAGTCACTATTGTCGCACAGGATACCCAAACACCACCGCGCAAACTTCTTGAGGTTTTTGGATAAATACCAGAAAGCCTAGAATGAATAGCAGGGAGAAATGCGCAGAGGTCACATACGATCTGGCCCCATGTCCTCGCACCGGTTTCTGTTGTGGTGGTGCAGCCGTCAACCTCTATGCAACTCTGAGCGACTGTTCTTCCTCCGTGGAAGGCAGCTAAAAACGGTGGGTTTTTCGAGAAGCTGTTGACTGTGTAGTTATCACAACGTTGCTGAGATATTTGCAAAACTCTGGACCGCAGGTATCTATGGTGGGGAACGAACGCGCTATTGTCCTTTCCGGGGAGTAACGCGTTCACCACCACACCATGCGGTGTGATTTCAACTACAGCCATAGCTTAACTGGGTTCTATGCCGATTTTCGCTCCCCAGATCAATCCCGCTGACGGGTGATTGCTGTGGCAAAAAGATTGATAGAAATAGCTGAGAGACAGGCGGAACGAAGGACCCGCATGGTGTGGTGGNTTGTCCTTTCAGGAGAGTAACGCGTTCACCACCACACCATGCGGTGTGATTTCAACTACAGCCATAGCTTAACTGGGTTCTATGCCGATTTTCGCTCCCCAGATCAATCCCGCTGACGGGTGATTGCTGTGGCAAAAAGATTGATAGAAATAGCTGAGAGACAGGCGGAACGAAGGACCCGCATGGTGTGGTGGTGAACGCGTTACTCTCCTGAAAGGACAATAGCGCGTTCGTTCTCCACCATAGACACCTGCGGTCCAGAGTTTTGCAAGTATCTCAGCAACGTTGTGGTTGTATTTCGCTTAGTAACCTGCCATGAAAATTATAGAAGGCAGAAAACAAAACGTTAAACATTGTGTAGTTATCGTTCAGATTTTCAACTTTTTGTTTATGCTATTGAAGGGTTTCACTCAGTAAATTGCGTATCAGTGTACCCTTCCAGGCTCTGAAGAAGGCTGTACTGCCGAAAAGTCAGCTACAGTTGTACTGTATGTATGTTTTTGCACGGAAGTAAACGTGTGCTGTATAACAACCTCCCAATTGCTGAGAAAGGGAACAACGCATTTATAATCCAATGCCGTGGTTAATAGAAAGTCGATCCTGGGAACTTTACTCTGTGTCTCATAAACTTTTCCAGTGCACTGCGAGTAAAATTACCAAAAAATAATCCGCAAACACTCATGAATTCAAAGAAAAAGGTTGTTATTCTATTGGTAATGCATAAAAGAGCTACAATAAAGCGACGGATATTTCTTTCATGTCTCTGAAAAAGTTTATTGAACGTTATCGAATCTTCTGGAAAGGAACACAACCAACCCCAATCATAAGGCCGAAGCTGGTAGCGATTAATAACATTGGAATCAAGAACTCCATTAAAGTGAACCATGGCGAACGAATCTGCTGCAACCAATTCTTCCACAACAACAATCTTAGCTGTGCCCAAGCGCCCATCGACAGCTAAAAAAATTCCTCAGTTCTTTTTTATATGGAAAAATTTAGACAGATTTTTTCTCCTACTTCTTCGAAGCAGTGAAAGCTCTCGCATTAGCAACTAATGAATGTAAGCTTTTTATAGAAATCATTTCGTACGAAGAAAATGACATAAGAATCTCATGCGACCATTTATTGGATCGTGAAGAGAAAAAGGATACGGTAGCGAAGAGAACATGAAAAACAACATTTGAAAGCTTATTGTGACCTCGGACACTGGCGAAATAATCGTTCGTAGATCAGTAATGCAAAAAATGTTAGCATCTTACATCAGCTTTATTATATTTCCACCTTCGCGAGATTTCTGAAGACTTAATATTTCTCACTGTATAAATAACTCCAGAAAACTGCATGGATTAAAGAGACGATGGCGTGGTGTTTCTGTGTTGAAAGAGCTTAGTGATTGTTCAGTCAAGCGGAAAACCGTATCTACTTCCACACAATCCGTTTTTAATCATCATAAAGGGTGAAGGTTTTCTTCTAAGTCGAACAGTCGACTATAAAATATCAGAAATAGAAAAAACTCAAACATTCGCTTAGAGAGTGTTATTAGTTTGTTACGCTCGTTTCTCTTAAGAGCGGTATCGGTGTAAATGATGATGAGCATCGTATGTCACTACGGTAAGGAAGAAAGCTGTATTAGCAGAAAGCATCAGTAATCAAGCAAGAAGTGGACAACTCCATCTACATATAACCAACTTGTATCTGTTTACATTTGGCGGCTTGTCGTATTCTTACGTACCAACAAAAGTGCATTTCCTCTCACCACTTGTCATCTTTTCTTTTAGTCATCCTAGAGGCCCATTCACTTCACACACAGAAGGAAGTAATTGGAGGAAAGCTGATATTGCCTAGACGTTTGTTGCTAAGGACCGTGGTGAGCGTTAAATACATTTTTACAGCGTTCCTTCAACGAACTATGCACCTTTCAAGATATTTAAGTGTCGGAGTTTCGACAGTAAGCATAAAAAAGTGACTTTTCTTAAAACTTTGGCTAATTTCTTCTTCAGATCAATATTTATGCATCGGCTAGACGTCGTAGATGAAAGATGCTGTCACCTTGTTTTTCACAGAATCATTCAACAACCAGACCAGTCGGCATCTATCCAGCCCATTGACACTACCTCGCCTATGGTAACTCTACCTACTGTTCTTTTTGTGCGTCAGTTGATGCACGTCTTGATCGATGTTGAAAGCATCTGACGGCGTTTCCTCTCTGTCGAAATGAATTTTTCATCACAAACGTAAAATACTCTTCCGCGATGAATGAAGAAGAATCTTCATAAACTTCACAGAACACATAGATTTCTGAACAATTCTTTATATTCCTGATGAACAAACACGAAGTGCTCTTCTCGTTCTTTATTTACGAACAAGCTGCCGTTTCGGTGCATTTCGCCTTCATCAGAGCCTAGAAAGTTCAAGTTTCTTTTCTTAACTTAACCTTTCCAGGCTCTGAGGAAGGCGAAATCTGCCGAAACGTCATCTTCTTCGTAAATAAAGAACGAAAAGAACACCTTGTGTTTGTTCAGCAAGAATATAAAGAATTATTCGATCAATGCCGAGGCTAGCAGAAATCGGTCATGGGAACTAGAACTAGGAGCGTTGAACATTGGCAACAAATAGCTCATATGCTTTTCTAGTGTTGTAACATCCTTTGATGAACAGCTTCCAAAAAATTCATTACCCAGCAAATCCCAATACGACGGACTCTATTCCTATTAAGTCATAAAACCAAATGACTGCTTCAAAATTTTGTTTACGGGTGAATGGTTCTTTGCTTTTGATGACTTGTTGACCGATCAAAATGTGTTTGATGCAATTAGCGATTTGGGTTTAGCAAAGCTCTCGTGTCAAACGAAACGCCTTGCCATTGAAATGAAATAAGAATATGATGTCAAATATAACTACTATGAGACTGAGTATTTGCAAAACTTGCTCCTCAGAGCAGATTCGAAACCGTGATTACACCTTCCGAGGGCTCAGGTGTTACCCACTGCATCACCGAGGTCATTCTTCGTCTTTCTCTCAGCCACTTTTCCATCTAATCTGGCTTGCAGTCCAAATTTTGCAAATATCTCAGCCTCATAGTTATTGTACCTTGCACCATACACTGCCGTCAAGAAAAATAAAAAGGTTAAGCCTTCGGCGTTGATCAATCCCTGAGAGATGCGCCATGCATTCGACTTCACTAAGCATGGTTGGAAGTGATTGAATGCATACCTAGCCTTTAAAATAACTAGCAGTGGCCTACCGATGTGCCGAGCTAGCGCTGTCATCTTCTTAGACAATTCTGGTACCAAACTGCCGATCCTGGAAGGGTGGAAGGCTTGGTGAGCATGGGTCGCCAGGATCGATCCTATTTGTACTGCAGGGAGTCTCCGACCACTGTGCTACCTTGCGCCCTGGTCAAAAATAATAATAGGCAACAAACAAAAAGTTAAACATTGAAATAAGAGTCTCTATCACAGGTTATGCGTCTTCAGGTGCTCTTCAAATTTCTTGGGTTCTGACAAACTTGTTTAGTGTATATATTGCCGTCTTCATATCTGCATCAGAAAGTGTCGCAACTGTGTCAACTTTGAGCAGATCTTCATCACTACTCTGGGTGCGATGAGCATGTAGTTCAGAAGTAAGAGGTGTTATGAAGAAACTATAGACACACACTCCGACCTAAATCATGGCGGCTTTAATGAAGACGACAGCACGTTTGATAAATAAAAGTTGTATAATAATTCAGTGTAACCTCATAAATTAAACCATATATTACCAATTATTCGAGCCTAAATGTAAGTCGCTTTTCAAAGTCAGAGGTGTGTAGCAAGGCACAAGGCAAGGATTTTGGCGGATCGGTGTTGTGCAATGGTTTGTTCAAGCCCTACACCGCAACGAGGTCGGCAAACTGGCACAATGCTTGTACGCTACCATAAAAAATGCTAATGTGATAGATCAGTACATTCTTGCAAGTCGCTATTGACAAAGACTGTGTTAAATCTCCTCTGCGATGCTAAGTAGAATGCATGTGTCACAGAGTGTGTCATTGATTAACTCCCTATCCCTTTTCCCTTTTTATAGGTCTATGCTACAAGAAATACGACGAAATATCTCTGGAAAGGTCACTTATTAGTCACAGTTAAGCCGTTGGTTTTAGCCAAGATTTGAACTATACTCTAGACTGACTGACAATGCTGATCGCAGTGGCACTGGCTTCATGTTGAGGCACATGTAATGCTAGTGACGTTTAGAAGGATAACCTTCAAAGACGTCCGCAGGATGTTTTTAATTTTCTAACGAAAAGAAAAGAAAACAACTATCTAATACCTTTGCACTACAAACTACAAAATATTTACGAACTGCTTCGACAACATCTTACTAAGAAGTTCGAACGTAATCCATCACAGCCGCGTCGACGCCTATTATTGAATTCGATACGATGGCGCAAACGATGACTGAACCGACGACGAAAATAGTGGATAACATCACTGATAAAAAGAAGCTTAGACCGTTCTTCAGTATCACCAACATTTATAGCCACTATTACTACAAAACTGTAGTAAATTTCGAAAAAGTTGTAGCAACACCATTCATAAGAGTAAATAAAGGATAAAGCTTTCCGTGTTTATCAATCCCTGAGCTATGCGCCATGCATTCGACTTTATCAAGCATTGTTGGAGGTGATCGAATGCATATAAGAGATAAGAGCGGCTTATCTGCTATGGTTATGAAAGTGTTTAACTGAGTAGATCGCATGCTAATTTGACCTTTCACAACGCTCTGAAAAATGCGAAGCCGCCGAAACGTCAGCTATTATATATTAATAAATTCTATAAAACCATCCTCGCGTCCGCTTATTGAAGGGAAACAGCAAGTTTCCTTGGATATTTAACGCCTTGGGCTTGAAATCCTCAGACGTTTGACACCTAAAAGTACCCTTGGCTTGCGAACAGGCGGTAAATCACTTGGGAGTGTGGTAAGGATAACGAATATGGTGCTTGGTGGGGCTTAATACATTCGGTACAAGCCATGTGTTCGACCACATTGAAGATCGTCAGACCGATTGAATATACATTTGCCTTATAAAATGACTGGCGTGAGTCTAGCAATATATTAAGGCCGTGTCCCAATCCTCGCAGATAGGTCTTGTTCCAGATTACCGGCTCTAAGTGGTGAGGGTTTGCGTAAGGTGGAGTGGCATCAAATCAATAACCATGTGGGTATTGCAGAGTTCCTCTAACCAGTACGTTAAGAGAAGGGAATATAAAGAAGTGCCGATGGTGTATCTTTGTAGAATTATATACATATATTTGTATTGGGGCAGACAGCACAGTGGTAGTAATGCCAGTCATCACGAGCACGGTGCTGGTTCAATTCCGCTCCGAGTCAACCAAACCTTTCATCACTCCGGGGTCGGCAAATTGCTATCGGACTTGTCTGGGAAGAAATCACTCTCTGCAATTCATTCGGTAACGCTCCAGCACGGCTATCTCAGGACTCCAGGGAGAATTGCTTGAACAGCATTGTACGATACTCAAGATGAAATAGAAATCCTCAAGCCGCAACCGAAGCCACGCGTAAAAGTTAGAAGAGCTTCGTGGACAATGGCTTCGAGGAAGCGAGTCGAATGTGTGAAGCGCTGGAAGCATCACAGTAGACGGGAAGATGGGTCATATGAAATAAAATAAATAAGATAAAATATATTTGTATAGTGAGCGTTGATTGCAAGCAATTCATTGGAAACTACAGAGGTGATACTAGATACGCGATTTAGCATTTTCTCTGATTATGGAGGTGTTTGGCTGGGTAGATTGCGGCCAAGTTGACCTTTCCAGACTCTGATTAAAGCGAAATCGGCAGAAACGTCAGCTGGTACGTAAATAAAGAAATAAAATGACACCTCGTGTTTGCTAAACAAGAATATAAAGAATTGTACAGAGGTGATAGATGAGCAGCAAACAACAAGT